TGTCGAGATCGAGGCCCGCCATGAGAAGGTATGGCTGAGCTGGATAGAGCAACTGGCTGATTGGCGGTTGTAGTTTGTCTGGTCGAGCACTGGTCGGGGCAAATGGCAACCCGGTGCGAGTGCTGAAGGCAGGTCTGAACAACGCGTGATGGACTAGACAGCTCTAGGGACTGTTGGGGTCGATGTCTCTGAGGTGGTCATGGTGGACGATCAGATGTTACCGAACAAGGTATGGTCTCTAGTTGTTCTGTGGAGTCGACCCTGTCAGGTGAAGCAACTACAGAAGGGTTGCTCGAAAAAACAGAGTGTTGAGGACTGGGAGGAGAAGATGCCAATCGATCGACTCTGTCATCCCATTCTGGTGATTTGAAGCAGGGTTGATGAAAGGGGATTCCGTTGTCATCAGAAGGCGAACCAGACTGATTTGGCGGTTGGTTGAGGCTGATGAGAAATGACTACAGCTTCAGATTTGTGCTATTTAGGCCTTTTAGGCGGAGAAGGCTCTGGAACTTTGGTGGACATTTGACATTTAGTGGAGGACTTTGATATTGAGGATTTCTGTATCAAGAGCTTTGATTTATGGGTTTTTGAAGCTTTAGACGAAGTGCATGGAGCGTCAGAATGGGATGGTGTGGTTGATGGATGTTGCTTTGAGGCTTCAGAAAGAGCCTTCTACATTGCTTTTGTTTGTGAGGTGGTCTTACAAAGAGGCTGGGCCATTTTGGTTGGCTGAAGGGATTGTTCCCAAAGACAGAGTTTTAATCTGGATAAGTCAGAACGGAGGACTTGAAGTTCTTAAAATGCTAGCAGGAGGATGTCTGGTGTGCCTCTCCCAAGCAAAAAGACACTTGGCGTGGCCGTCGGAGAGTGATATTTTGTTATCACAGACCACACAGTGCTTAAATGGGCCCAAACGGGCGATGAATAGGAGAAAATAATTTGAGGAGAAAAAAGGATGATGGGGGGGTGTTCTGGCCGGAGGCCGAGTGAAGCAGAAAGGAAAAAATCTCTGATGATAATGAATTTGCATCTAAAAGGAAAAAAGATTGATAACAGGAAGGACTCAAGAATAAACTCTCTGTTTTACTCACAGAAGCAGAACTATGAGGCTCTCGACGCGGGGGTTGAAAGAAAACTGAAAGGGGAGCCTTGGTGCCAAGGTACTTATACAAGGGAGAGGGGCTTTATTCTAATGTGTTTTTTGCTACCACAGAAGCTCTAGAACTTTCCGATGAGGCTCCGCGCAGGCGCGGATGACACAGAGTGTGAGTCACAGAGGCCATGAAGAACAGTCCATACATATGGTTTTTTTAAAAAAAGAAACAGCTCTTTTACTGCACAATCTTCCTCCATGTTTAAGCTTTCAGTTACTGTGAACTTGCTTTTCTTATTTTATACTGTCTGTCGTGCACATTATGTGGTTAAACAGATCTCTCTCCCTCCTGCCTGGGTCCCCAGATAATCATCTGCCCTAAAGTTTATTTGGTGGTATTGTGCATGGGGAGAATTGGAAGAAGCTGGTAAAATAGAAAGATACGGGAATGAATAGTACTGAATAATGTGCTTCTTTATATTCCTTTAGATGCATTTCTTCTTTTCAGTTGCTGCATGACCCACTGAAAATACATTCATTCATTCTTAGAGGCCATGGGAAGACATTACATACCAGTGGCCTTTTGGAAACTTCCTCCTTTCCGCTGTGAGAACATAAATTTTCTGTCCCTAAGGGGCTGACTGACCTTATGAGGTGGCCTTGCTCCACAACTGTATCCCTGGTTCTTCAGAAGACTCATCTGTTATTTGCAACTGCAGCCTCACCAGCAACATTGGATGGTAAACTGTGCCTGTGCAGAAAATTTTGCTTTTATTTTTTTGTAAGCCAGGCTGAATCCGGTGTGCTGCTTACATTGGAGGAGACAGGCAAACAGCCATCACTGCAGTTACTTGTGGATTTGAAGCATTTTTCTGATAACCACGGCTTTTCAAGTTTATCTTTAATGGCAAGAGTTTCAAAAAAGTCAAATGAAAAAAGGAACACTCATAAGGTAAAACTACATTTCCATTTAAGTTACATAAAATATAGGGGTACTCAAGGATGCAGTGTAATTTTTCAGTCTATTTAAATCACTTTATATTAAATTTTGTATGACGTACTGTTTAAAAAACAGGAAGTTTTAATGACATATTAAAAGAAAGAAAGCACGGTTGTGAGCCCAAATCCTGAACAAGGCATTCAACAAAATGAGGACGAGGATGTTAACATAAAGGGGATGGGGTGGGGCGGAATTAAGTCCCATAAAACCTTAGTGATATTTTACAAATTTCACCCCTGCCACATTTTACATAAACATGTTAACAGAGAGAAGGGAGGAAGAGGGAAGGTTTATTGATATGACATGAAAGAATTACAATTTAATACTACAGCAGAAACCAAGAGTTTTTTTAGTGGAACCTGCTGATAAATACTAAAGTGACATTTTAACATTTTCTATAGGAATCATTTTTTAAAAAAAACAAAAAACCTCCCTTTTCCCTTTCCCCATGTAAAATAATACTGGCTAAAATCAATACCAAAACATTTTAATCATCATGCATCTAAAGTTTTAACAAAAAAAGAGAAAAGAAATTCATATATAAAGAGGTAGATTAAAAAGGAAAAAAAAACAGATTCACCATTCTTTGACACTTTTATTCAGTAGATTTCTTTCCCCTTAGTTTTTCCCCCCATTTTTGCAATGCCATACATGGCAAGGAGTGATTACAGTCAATGGTTTATTAAAACATTTTTTTTGTTCAATGCAGACCCTTTAGACCACTGACCCGTTCATGTGCTTTTCATTTGTTTTTCCCCTCTGTACACCACCACCACCACAAGGCTTTTTTTTGGGGGGGGGAGCATGGGATTGTTTTAAAGGGGTAAAAAGGGAGTCCAGGAGGTGGAGGAGGAATGCTACGAGCCACAGCGAGAATGAGCTGTTATTTCAAAAGAAAAAAAGCCCCTCCCCAATAATACAGTAATGAGGTCACACAATTAAATCCCACAGCATGACTCGAAGGCTTTTTCCTGCCCGGTGGTGGACGTCATCACAATGGAAGGCATAAAAAACTGGAGGAACCGAATGTAGAGAACAGTTCAATCTCTAGTCCATTAGGCAAGATGGTGCAAGTAGTCGTTCCATTTAAAAAAAGTGCCCTACTCTCACCTAAATGGCTAGCAAACATGGAGTACTCCCCACCAGAGAGAGAAAAACCACCCACATAGCTATCTAGAAGAGTGTGCTGGCAATATGGCACATTTTTAAACACTGGGCAAGGTGTGCCATCATGGACTTCTCTCTGTCTCTCTTGCTCTCCCCAATTCTGTTTTCTCCCCTCTATTGTTTACGGGTACAAATGCTAGGTTCACCTATCGGAACTATGCAGGAAGTGGACTCCTCTGCTAGGAATACTAGCGCTAATTGACTTTGTCTTGAAATATATACAAGTTGTTTGTAGTGGCTACAGCAATGATGTTCTCCTTTGGATGCCAGGCTGTGTGGAGGATCTTCTTGTTGAAGTCTAGGCTGTCAACACTAATCTCGTCCTTCTTCCTTTTGCCGCTCGCACACACTTTGCGGGGTTTCAAAACAGTGCGGGGCTTATTGTTTTCCCGAGAGGCTTCTAAAGTGATATCTCGTTTGGTGTTCCTATCAAACATTCGGAAGAAGTTGTTGTAGGAGCCAGTCATGACAACACTAAAAATGGAGAAGATAAAAGACAGTCAGGAGTCTCCTTCGACAATAATGTCAAGACTCATTTCCCATATCTTACAAATTCACTCAGTGCTGTCACATCAATGGAGCCAGGCCATGTGCGGTCACCGCTGCAAATCCCAGAAAATCACTGTGGTGTTGTTAGGGGGCAACAGGAATTGAACAGTCTGATCATAGAATAAAGGAATACAGTGGATATTAAATTTATTTGTACAAATCATCTTCACCAATGTCTCTGGATACAACTTTCAAAAATTGAACTTATATCCAGAAATATAATAAAATGGACTATAAATAGTGCAGTGATCAGGGAATATGTTGTAATGGACCCTGTCATGGAGGAGGCTGAAGCTTGTGTCAGACATTCACAATTATTAGATTTATTTGTGGTATTTTATGAGGAGGCTTAGGGCAGAATACACATGACCTCCCTTCATTTCATTCTACACACAAGAGTCAATCACAAACATGGGGAGATTTGAATATGGACCTCCTCATTTACAGTTTTTTAGGCACTACATTCATTGATCCTCATAGAAGTAGTATTCCTCTGACTCACACTGGCTTGTGCACATCACACTGATGTCGTTTCCAGGAAGCAATACCTGTCATTCTGGGAACAGTAACAAGCCCTCTAATTATGACAAAATTATAGGGCAGCTGTGTTAAAAAAAAAGGACAAGGTCTGACATTTCTGTGTCTCACATGCAACCATCAACGTCCCAAGGTCACCTTCAAGACCAGAGCAGGGTTCTTTCCATCGTCCCACTGTTCTACAAAGGATCTGACACATTTAAAGGCTGCTACAATTTGGGTGAGAACAGATAATAAAGGAAAGAGGAGATTGGTTATTGTAGGTTTTTCGGGCTGTCTGGCTGTGTTCTTGAGACAGCCCGAAAAACCTACAACAACCATCAGATCCTGGCTGTGAAAGCCTTCGAGAATACACACAAAGAGGAGACTGTCTGGACTCATAGAGTTACAGTTGTGTTCAAAATTATTCAACCCCCACTGAAATTGAATGTTTTGGCCATTTTGACATTGATTTTGATCATTCAGTCATCTTGCTTACATTTACATGAAAGAGGCACTTGTAGGTCAGAGAAATATAACCTTAAGTTTATAATGAAATAACCACAAATGTCTTTTCTGTGCTCACATCATTATTAGTTTTTATTCAACCCCCAAGTGACATTCAATCTTAGTACTTAGTACAACATCCTTTTACAGTTATAACAGCTTTTAAACATCATAGCGTAGTGATAAGGAACATTTGGTTCTTCAGACATTTGGAAGCAACAGCCAAATGGAAAATCTCATGTTCAAATGCTCCATACATGAAAACATGACATATCAATAAATTTTAGCCTAGCATGTCTCCTGACACGACATTTCTACCCACAGAGAGCATTTTTAACTTTTAAAAACGGCAGTAGCTCACCATACTTTTAAAAATGGCAATAGCTCTCCTACAATCTGAAGTGTGCTCCAGGAAAGACTGCACCACACCGTCTTCTTTTCCAAGTATAAACAGTTTAAAAAACACCTCCCCTCACACCATAAGCCACAATTACTTGGCATCTGTGCACAGTCTGACAGTTAAATATTGCTCCCTTTAGGCCTCCAACAAGTATATTAATGGGGTGTGCTCACTGAAGGGAAATTCAACGGGAAAGGCAAAAAGTGGAATCCAGCAAGATGATTCAACTGTAGTGGTAAAGAATTTACAGTGACACACTTGGTAGTTGCACATGAGCTTTTAGCATGATCCTAACGAATTTATTTCGGCTTAAGCTTTCATGGAATGGACTGGCATCCCCTTCATCAGCTGACTATTCAACTATTGAGGAACAAAAAGGGGGAGATGAGAGACTTGCCTGTCTGATCCATTCCAGCAGCATTCAAATTTATCGAAAATGCAGTCATTTTCATAGAGGGAACAAAGTTTACTTCTGAGGTATTCATGTACCTGGATAAAAAAACAAACATGCACAACTTAGGAAAGTCCACCATAATAACAGAAGGAATGGGTTATTTTAGTGTTGGTTTTGTTTGCTTATTTGGTATAACTGTAAAACTGTTTTCAGTTGATTTTTTTAAATAAGGCTCGCAAAGGCGAGGTCCGGTGATGCTCCCCCTTTGCTACAGTGAGTTTGCTCAGGACTAGAGATGGGCATGAACTGCCAATTTCGTGGTTCGTGCTTGTTTGTTTCTTGGTCAAAATGGTGTTCAATAGTTCCCAGCCCCGCGTCCTCTGCCAGGCACCCGCTGCTCAGATGCCGCACCTGGAGGAGGCAGGGGCAAGAAGCTGGGGCACTGACTCTGAGTGGGCACCCAGCAGAGGAGGCAGGGCAGTGAAGCATCAAACATCTGCTCGGCTGAGAAATGAACCGCTGAACTGGTGGTTTGTGCCCATCTTTACTCGGGACTGCCAAGCTAGGGACAAAGTTAACATCTTCAGTACCGTGCTTGCTCTTCTCTCCCTCCTTCTGATCGCATACATGCAGCTGTCAGGCCCTAGCTAAGCAATTAGCTCTCAGGGTGAAAAGTTTGCACAGCTCTATCACACAACATGGGAATATGCAAATGAAGTAAGTAAAACTATGAATAAGGAGGAAAAAACCCCTCCAAATTTCCACACTGAGTATACAAGGCACGTCCTCTGTCATGGGAAAAAGTGTGACATTCTGAACCTGTTCATGGGAAAAGCCATGGCCTGCCAAGGTAACCTGCTGGATGCCCTTGGGCACACTTCTGAAGCCTTTGATGCAGGCCGATACCTAAGCTGAAAAATTCTAAGCCGCAGATATGCCAACCTGAAACCCCTTCTCTATTTTAAAAGGTTTCATACGCAGCCTGTGAAGCAGCAAAGGGGACTATTAAACAATTATACATCCAAATCATACACCTGTATGTATATACAGAAATAGTTATGCATTTCAAGTGTCTCAAGACTACATTCCTTACACACCATTGCGACCATAGTGCTGGGGGATTGCAGACCAACATTTCCAAGCTTTGGTTAGCAATACCAAAAAAAAGGGGAGGCCCTCTTCAGCAAGAGAGAAGCAGATAAAATCATCATCATGTGACAATAAAACAGCCTCTTAATAACAGCTAATGGTTCTCCTTCCCACACCCAGAAACTCCCAGATGATTCTGCTAGCAGAAGTGGTACGACAACATCCTTAAATACTCACCAGGAAATACATCCCATTGAGTTAAATGGCACTTGTTGCTAAGTGCTATGATCTAAAGAATCACATACATGTGTCCAACAGCCATTCTCAACAGGGGCCATATGGCTCCCTGGTATATCTGAAGGGGGGAACAGATTGAAAACAATTCTTCACATATATCTGAAGGGGGGGGGGAACAGATTGAAAACAATTCTTCACACACCACCTTATAAGGTGTGTTATGCGATTTACACAAACCTGATTTGGCCTATATTTCTTTCAAGGGTGTCTAAAGCATTTCATATCAGTAGAAAGTAAGTGCATTTTCTGTGGTTGCAACTCTGGTTAGAAACCCGCCTAGATCTTCCAGACCTGCTTTTTCAAAATTTCATATCAGTGGAAAGTAAGTGCATTTTCTGTGGTTGCAAGTCTGGTTAGAAACCCACCTAGATCTTCCAGACCTGCTTTTTCAAAAGACACAACAAACTGCTGTGCTAAAAAAGGACAACAAAACAAACAAAGTACAGAGATCTGTGGATGCTGGCCCAAAAGGCAGGAGAATTTGACTGGGGTCATACTTTTAAATAAAACGAAGAGGACAAGAAAATATGTACCTTGTTTTGAAGAAACTGTGTTGGAAGCAGAATTCTCAGTTTTGTACATAAAGCTGGAGACAGGTGGAGGCTGCTAATACAGACGACAACCCCACTGGCTGACCACACAGGTCTTATCTACTCAATTCAAGTCACACACTTCTGCTTCCAAACATGAAAACTTAGCTCTGTCTCTTTTGACATACCTGGTATGTTTCCACAGGTCTGTTTTCCATATTTAAATCCCAAATCTTCACAGACAGATAATCTCTGGTCATCATATATCGACCACTGTGGCTGAATTTAACATCAGATATGGAAGAGATTATTTCAGAGAAAAACGATCGATTGCTGGGATCTTCTGGTTCTTCAAACACTGTGGATAGGAGTCAGATAGCCACTTGCTCAGCTTATTTAATTGAGATGAATATTACCTCCCCCCACCATGTGATAAAACAAGAACTACAATAACAGTCCTGGGACATAAACTGAAGAGAAATGTTGCTAGCATGGTCCCTGGTATGACAGATGGAATTTTGCAGACAGGGATCTGAAAATGTTAAGATGCATGGTGTTTCCATGGGAGACACAAGCAATAAGTGTGCATGTTTTGCAGAATTCAGTTTTTCTTGGTATAATGGTTCGATAACCTTACTTTTTTGTTTTGCAGAATTCAGTTTTTCTTGGTATAATGGTTTGATAACCTTACTAAAAAGTAGAGATAGGCAAACAAAAAACCTGCCAGTTTCGTGGTTCATTTATCAAAGCCCTGCCTCCTCCAGCGGGCGCCTGATAACCTTACTAAAAAGTAGAGATAGGCAAACAAAAAACCTGCCAGTTTCGTGGTTCATTTATCAAAGCCCTGCCTCCTCCAGCGGGCGCCCACTCAGAGGAAGCACCCAGAGGAGGCAGGGCAGGGAAGCCAGGAGGCTGCTTCTGAGTGGGTGCTGCCAGAGGAGGTGGGGACTTTGAAGCACCAAACACCTGTCTGGCTGAGGCATGTTTGTGCTCATCTCTAGTAAACAAGTGTTATATGTACACATATCTGTCTGTCTGCATGTATCTGTGTGTAGTATCTCAGTACTCAGGCAATCTAAGTATTGTGCCAGGAAGAAACTATTTTTCAACCCATGCAAGAATATACAAATTAAGAAAACATGCCCAGTCCCTTTTATTTCTCACAATTTGTTCTACAGTATGATAATAATCAAGAGTAAGGAGCTGAGTAAGTGACTGAAGCCTCATCTCAGGCAAGTCACTGAAAATCTTATTGCAAATGCCACTTACTAGGTAACTGAGATTTCAACATGGACTGTACATCACACTTCTCAAACCATTTCTACAGAAATCAGCTTGAAAAGGAAATACAGCGGTTGTAGATAGCTTGAGTACCCTTGGTCTACTCTTCTGTTTTTGTACTGTTTTTATGGGCTTTGGAACGCCTAAGAAGACATGCTTAGACTTTACCCCTATCATAGCAGGATTTGTGTGATATGGTCCACTTGTGCACTGCCCTAATATTACAGTATAAAAATATCATATATAGTGGTGCCTCACTTAACAAGGGCACCGTTTAACGACGAATCCGCATAGGCACTGCCCTAATATTAGAGTATAAAAATAAAAAAGGTGACATATATAGTGGTGCCTCGCTTAACAAGCGCACCGTTTAACGACGAATCCGCATAGTGACGTGTTTTTTGCGATCACTAATGTGATCGCATTGCGATGTTTTAATAGGCAAAACATTGCATTGCGATGATTGGTAAGCGTTTCGCTTATCGATCTTCACATTGTGATGTTTTGGGAACAGCTGATCGGCGGTTCCAAAATGGCCGCCGGGTGAAGAAAATGGCCAGCCGCAGCGTTTTCGCGCCCTGCCCTTGCTTACCTCGCAGCGAAAATGGCAGCCGGATGGAGGATTCCCCGCACAGCGGTGAGTTTTTCCCCAACAGGAAAAACTCCCCAATAGGAAAAACGCATAGCGAAGAATCCGGATAGCAACGTTAATCCTGGAACGGATTAACGTCGCTATGCAGGGCACCACTGTATATGATACATATATCATATTAGGGCATTGCACAAGTGGACCTCGCAGCGAAAATGGCAGCCGGATGGAGGATTCCCCGCACAGCGGTGAGTTTTTCCCCAACAGGAAAAACTCCCCAATAGGAAAAACGCATAGCGAAGAATCCGGATAGCAACGTTAATCCTGGAACGGATTAACGTCGCTATGCAGGGCACCACTGTATATGATACATATATCATATTAGGGCATTGCACAAGTGGACCATTATCACACAAATTCTGCTGTGATAGGGGTGAAGTCTAAGCAAGGTCTATATATAGAAGTGCTGTGATACTCAGATGATGGATTCAAAAACACACAACACCCTCTTACTTTGTAGCTGATTTGTTTAAAGAAGGAAAATAAGCCTGTGGGAATTCACAGACATACTTACATTTCGAATGCCTATCACAGAGTGCTGATGCCCTCATGTCGCACAGACGGATTGTTCCTTTACTGCTACTGTAGACAAATGTGTTACAGCTGTTGGGGTGGAATTCGGCTGCTGTTATTACTTCTGTCAGTTCCTCCATGTTGGCAGGCTTAATATCTACAATATCTAGAGGTTTTTAACATTAAGGCAATTTCCTTTAAGTTGTTTCCATAGCCACCATCTGAATCCTTAACCAAAAGTTGGGGACACAATAGATTTCTTGGGGGGGGCACACTCCTGCTATAAACCAGGTGGGGTACCTATTTGGCCACCCTATACTTTGAGAACTGCATGTTACAAAGGTGGTATATAAGCAGCTGGACAACTTGGGCTCCAGTAATGCATTTTCATACCCACAGAGTCAGGCACTAACCCCTCTCCTCTATATTTAGCAACATATATTACTCCATTGTAAACAGTGACAATGTCATGCCTGCACAAGCAGGTCTCATAATCTGGGAGACTCTCTCCTGTAATTCTGCTTTTTGGTGGAATGGGCTCAGGGTGCAAGAAGATAAAGCAGGACATTGCTCTGCAAGCTTTTGAAGAGGACACAAAAGATAAAGCAAAAATATAAGTTTAATGAAACAAACTCCCCATAAACCTACTAATTAATCCTATAATGAACTGCTTGACTCCATTCTCTCTCATTTTATGGCTTAACACAGCGGTTTCCAAACTTGGATCACCCAGGGTTTCTGGGAGTTGCAGTCCAAGAACACCTGGGTTACCCAAGGTTAGACACCACGGGTTTGACATGAGGATGAGGAATATGTCCACCTCCCCTGCTGAGCAGCAGTTCCCATTTGTCCTACTCAGCACAGCAAACAGGGAGGAATAAAACTTGCAGTTGAATAGATTCTGGAGGGCCACACTTCCCCCAAGGATTGTTTTGAGCAGGGGTCCTCAACCTTTTTAACACCGCGGACTGGTTGGGGAAGGCAAGGCATCCCCCCGCGCTCGTAGGCATGTGCAAAGGGGCGGGGGTGCTTGGGGGGCACTGGCGCACATGCGTGAAGGGGCTGTGCAGGGGGAGTGCGTGCAAGGGAGTTCTGTCTCCGCGGATTGGCACCAGGCCACAGACCAGGGGCTGAGGGCCCCTGGTTTAGAGTTTTCTCTCAAATCTTCTATTTCTCTGAATGTTCCCATTTTTTCTTACCTTCTTCCCCCTCCTTAGTAGATAAACAATCTTAGTACTTCTTGTTTAACACTCGACTTAGTTGCCCATTGGGTTTTCCTTCCCTCCTTCCTTGCCGCGCCTTTTTATACTGTGTCTCTTTAATTGTAAAGCATTTTAAATTCCAGAGTATTTGGAGGGCTTTTTCACAAGGGCAAAATATAAATGCAGCAAACAAATAACTCACTTAAGAAGCATAGTTATTTGTTTTCTTTGGTCTTACCCAATGGTCAAAATCCTATTGAGTAAATTATTCCTGTGTAAGGGTGATGATGTCAGCATCAAGGAGAGACAGTTGATAACAATCTTAGGGATCACTCTACTTCCTTATAGTAACACTTTGGGTGAAATGGGTAACCCCATAGATTGAAGCAGGAATGCCTGAATTACCAGGTATCTCCTCCTCCCGGATAATATTCTTAGCAGCAACATATTCCTGGTAACTACAGCATTCCTATTTCAATTGTGGGGTTCACCTGACTCATCTACAATGAGAATGAATGCAGGTGAGTTGGGCAACGCTCAAAACAAAAGCAGAAACTTAAATCATTGGCAATCTGCCTCTGTTGGTGATGTCATTCCCCTTACACAGGATTGGGGCTCTCAGTTATTTCTTCCACAGCAATCATTAGCTAATTAAGAGAGAGAGAGGGATACATGCATTTACTATTAATGGAGGTATTCTTGTCCACTCTGTTGAATATGAGAGAAAAAGATACTAAAACTTCTGTCCGTAATTTCTAAGTGCCACAAATTAATCCGCAAGTCATCTGCAGACAGGTACGTTTCATAGTCACTATTGATGGAAATCGAGTTGATGTGGTATGTGTGGGCATTGGCAAATATCCTTCTCGGACTGGCTTCCACCATGAGATCCATGGGCCGGAATACTGGCACCTGGAAAGCGCAAGAGGAAAGATCTGTGTTAAGTGTGGCCAGCACAAAGGAAAGACACTCAAGGGCTGGCCAAACAGGCAGGAAACTACCATCTTGGAAAATCAGGACAGACAAAGTTAAAAGGCCATATAGGAAAGTGGCCAGGGCATGCAACCAAAGCTGTCATTATTACTGTTACAAGAATGTAAGAGCAGCTAGAGTGAATGAGACCAAAGGCTTATCTAGTCCAGCATTCAATTCCCACAATGGCCAAACAGATTCCCATGGGAATTCCACGAGCAAAAAGGGAGCACAATAGCAGTCCTGTTCATGTTCCTGAAACAAATGGTATTGAGAGGCACACTGACAAAGACAAGACCTCTGACATAAGAGTCGTTAAGACTTATAGCTATCATTGTCCCTATCCTCCAGGAACCTTTCTACCCCCTTTTAAAGCCATATTACAATAGGAAATTACATAGCTTGACTCTACACTGTGTGAAGAAGCGCTTCCTTCTCTCTGTCCTGGCACGGTCACCATTCAACTTCATGAGCTGACGCAGAACGTTAAAAACAAAATAGAGAAAAACTTCTCCCCATCCATGTAGCTGAAACCATCTTCTCTCTCAATCACCTTACCTCCACCAACAAAGTGAGCAGCTACCATATATTCTCTTCTTCTCCTGGTCAGTGGGACACAGAGACCTTAAAGAGTACGATAGCTGTAGCTCTGATTTCTTAATAGAGATGGGCATGAACTGCTGGTTTGACGGTTCGTACTGTTTCATTGATAATCCAAACAGGTGTTCAGTGCTTTCCAAGCCCACCTCTTCTGGGGGACGCCATCCCAGAGGCACAGTGTCCCAGCTTCCTTGCCCTGCCTCCTCCAGTGGGCGCCCAACCAGAGGAGGCTGGCCTTGGAATTGCCAAACACCTGTTTGACAAATAAACGGACCAGCAGTTCATGCCCATTTCTCTTTTTTTAAATATGGACATCATGCCAAACCATGGTTAGTACAAGCCATGTTTGCAAAGCCACTTTTGAAACAGCCGCAGACTAACTTTGGAACCATGGTTTGCCATTGCAATGGTGTGATGTCTGTAGCTACTAATCTTGTAAAAGCGAAAGCAAGAATGAGTCTATGGACATTAAGATGGCTCGCCCCCGCAGGTTACTGGATCCTAATGGATTCCAAGATACCATGTGGGGGATTCTGACTTGGTCCGCGCTCCTATCAATACTCTGATGGATAGCTAGTATACCGCCGCCACCAGGGCGGTCAACATGATCACACCTAAATGCCCCCTCCGCCACCAAGCCCGACCAGTCCCCTGGTTTAACTAGCAGCTGCGGGCCATGAAACGTAATCAGAGAAAGCTAGAGAGCATTTGGAGATGGGCCCCGAAGGAAATTAATATAAAAACTGCCAGGATCGCATCTAACCTCTACCTTGCTAGGGAAAAGGTTGCTAGAAGAGCATTCTTCGCTGACCAGACAAGTGAAGCTCACAACCAGCAGGCAGAACTTTTCCATATAGTACACAATCTATTTGGAGCCGACCGCAGTGATTGGCCTCCCTCTAGTATTTCCTGTAACCAATTTACGGCATTTTAAAAATCTAAAGTGGAGGTCATCCGCCGGGACCTTGATCCCTTTCTGCAGACAGTGGATCGAGCTGAGATGTCCAGTGCATCGTCTTGCCCGGTGAGGTTAACTTGCTTTCAACCTGTGACGTCCAATGAGGTGGACAAAGTGCTTGTGTGCTGTCGTGCCACCACCACCTCCTCTTTAGACCCTGGTCTGGCCTGGCTCATCAAAGAAGCCAAGCCGGTAACAACAGAATGGGACACCACAATAATTAATGGGTCTCTCCAGGAGGGCATGGTTCCCCCTGCCCTCAAGTAGACACTCATTACGCCCATTAGAAAGAAACTTAATTTGGCGGCAGACAAAACTGGGAATTATAGGCCTGTCACCAATGTTTCTTTCTTGAGTAAAGTGGTCGAGAGGGTGGTAGCCGATCAGCTCCAGGCCCTCCTGGAGGAAACTGATGCCCCTGATCCATTCCAGTTAGGCTTCAGGCCGCGGCACGATCCGGGCAGCCCATTTCCATCTTTGGAGGACTGCCCGGCTGCGTCCCTATCTTGACATGGGGGTACTCACAACGCTGATTCATGCCCTTGTAATCTGCATCCCTATCTTGACATGGGGGTACTCGCAACGCTGATTCATACTCTTGTAATCTCAAGAATAGACTACTGCAGTGCTCTCTACATGGGGCTACCCTTGAGGCTGATGCGGAAACTTCAACCGGTCCAGAATTCGGTGGCCAGATTAGTAACTGGGGTGAAGAAATTCCAGCACATCTCCCCCACTCTGGCCACCCTTCATTGGCTATCAGTTCATTTCCGCATCGACTTCCAAGGTTATGATGACAACATTCAAAGCCCTAAATGGTTTAGGACATCGGTACCTATCAGACCGCCTGCTCCCAGCCAGATCTGTCCACAATACCCATCCTTCACAGGCAAGGCAGTTGAGGGGGGGTGAAGAAATTCCAGCACATCTCCCCCACTCTGGCCACCCTTCATTGGCTATCAGTTCATTTCCGCATCGACTTCCAAGGTTATGATGACAACATTCAAAGCCCTAAATGGTTTAGGACATCGGTACCTATCAGACCGCCTGCTCCCAGCCAGATCTGTCCACAATACCCATCCTTCACAGGCAAGGCAGTTGAGGGCCTTGACCCTGAAGGAGGCCTGGAGGGAAAGAACGAGAAACCGGGCCTTCTTGGAGGTCGCCCCCCGCCTGTGGAACAACCTGCCTATTGAGATCCGCCTGGCACCCTCACTGGATGGGTTCAAAAGAGCACTGAAGACCTGGCTCTTCCGCCAGGCTTTCCCGGATCATTAAGATCTCAGCCTCCCTTTTGCCATCCTTTTTGCCATCCTCTCCATCACCCCTTTTTACCACCTTCATTGCCATCTGTTTTAATTTACCCTATTTGGTTATGCATTAATTTATTTTTTATCGTGTTTTAATATTGTTGCTCATACTGCTGTTAGCCGCCCAGAGTGGCCTGGTTGCCAGATGGTATGGGACATAAATTCTATAAATAAATAAATATTGCTCTCTTGTCTTGAGCATCTGTCAAACATCCAGGATGGCAAACAGAAGCCACTACTCACCCGTAATGTCGTGACTGTAGTGGGATCCCTATACCGTCCATCTTCTTCCTTCAAGTTATAGCCCTCTGGTCTTTTATCTCTTTCACTGATTTTCCAAAGTTTTATTGTTTTGTCTGAAATATATATTAGCAGTCAGAATCAGGATGGTGAAGAACAACCTCCCTATAAAAAGGATTACTCACAGAATGGAAGAATACAGCCTGAGCTTATACACAGTGGCTGGATAAAACAGGACCATGATTTAAAATACTCCCTGATGATAAGAAGTGACTTGACATGCTGACATGTTTGGAACAATCAAGACTGCTGTTCCATGAAGCCTACCAGTGCCTACAATTCTGCATGACTATGACTGCAATTCTGCATAAAGACAGAATTAGGTACGTTTCCATAGCAGAAAGGGAAATTTGCACCATTGTGACTTTCTTACAGTATTCAACCAGGTGTCTCTGAAAAGCTCAAAGGCAAGGTATTTTTACAGGAGAAGCAAACAACACACTTCCTAATATAGGTGTGGAATGTGTGTGCTTCCATCCGGTGTTAACTGGGAATTCCTGCCAAACAGCCCATGATGATTTCAATCATAATCAAGATGATTTCAATCAAATGGCTCAGGAGAAGTTGGAAACTTTGTGTACAGTGGTGTTCCCCATCAGGTCTTATCATTTATATGCTGGCTACGGTTAACGAAGGTTTCTGACCAACAGTATCTGGAATGTCACAGGTGGTGGTGCACCCTCTCTTGATACGACAGTTAACGAATGCAAACAGGCAGCTAAACTGACAAAGCAAAATGGGGGTTTGCAAGCCCGGGCCTGGAGGAAACCCTTTCGCCAATCATTTTGCACCCCTGAATTCAGAAAGCCTTACCATTTGTAGACAATAAAAACTGAGCAGCATTTTTCTGGGGTAACCACCTAATTTTGTTGATCTTTTCTTCGATTTCTAAGCTTTTCAAGTAATCAAACTCTGGTTCATGGCTTTGAAAGGTACTGTAAACATTGTATTCCCCTCTGCTGTGAGACTGTGTTTTGTTCTGGGCAATGAGAGAGAGAGAGAGAGAGATTAAACAATGTGTGGAATTCAAAGCAAAATGACTGTAGTGTATATTTGTTTTATGAATCAAATTGTTCTCTCTACGAGTAGCACTCGAATCAGCTAATAATGATAAAATCAGATAAAACAAATACAATTAAACTGCAACAGATTAAGAACACAGTTTAAAAACATCTCAGTAAAAGAACGGTCGGTCACCCACCCACCCCAAAATTAAAACATTTGTTACTCAACAAAGCAGCTGAGTTGATGCAGGTCGGCTACAGTTTAGAAGCTGAAGGACCAGCGTGTTTGCGGTCCCTATCCACCCCCTCCACATACCCCAAATCTTGTATCTTTTATTTCTTTTGAACTAATGGCCAACTGTTTTCTTCAAGCAGTGCACCCAGCTACTCTTTGGTGCCTCTACTCTTCCAGAGAAAGGGTTCATAGTTTTGTTTTAAAAGTCTCTTGTCTTTTTTTTTGGGGGGGGAGGGGGTTACCGCAAACTGGCCAACTGTGGCCTCTAGAGGGCCCTTTGGAAGAAAAGGGAAAAAAGAGGGCTAGAGATCTAGGACCTCCCAGGTCCCAGTGGGGCAGAGACCACCCCTTGACCTCTGGAAGTTGCCCACCCTGATTCAGGATGATGGGAAGGGAACATTAAAGTTACTTTATAACTTGTCATTTTGGAAGAGAGTGGGAAGCTTTTTACTTTTTCACTGGCCGAATCTGCATTCACGAGCATTTGCTGTTGCTTAGTCATTTAGTCATGTCCAACTTTATGTGACCACATGGACCAGAGCACACCAGGCATCCCAGAGTTGGGTCAAATCCATGTTGGTAGCATCAGTGACACTGTCCAACCATCTCATCCTCTGTCATCCCCTTCTCCTCCTGCCTTCTCACTTTTCCAACATCAGGGTCTTTTCCAGGGAGTCTTCTCTTCTCATGAGATGGCCAAAGGATTGGAGCCTCAGCTTCAGGATCTGCATATCCTGAAGCTGAGCATAGGGGCACCATCTTAAACATAATTTAGTTGCCTGATTGTCTTTAATTATAGGGTGGTCAGCCTCAGTGTCCAGAGGACATTTACACCCATTTTTTTCAGTATCTTTTTGCAACCCAACAATTATAGGGTGGTCAGCCTCAGTTTCCAGAGGACATTTACACCCATTTTTTTCAAAGCCAAAAGTGACCAGACAGTAGCTTCCATTTCTAATCCTACTTTGGATTGAAAATGGCCTTTAAATGACCAACTGCACATACACACACATATACACATGAGGCTTTGGGGACATTTTTATACCAATTATTTCCCCACTTTGGAAATGCTGAGTGGGCACAGCCATACCTGGGGCAGGGTAAACAGGGCTTTGACCTGGTTTCAACCAGGGTGTTGAAGTTTAGAGGGTGCCACCATTTGCTAGTGGAAAGGCGGGAACTTGCCTTGAGCATAAATGCCCTTTTTTCACCCCTGGGCAGAAGGAAACACAAAACAGGCAGGCTTCATGGGACGGCAGCAGGTCACACTGTGCCTACTCGACCCCTGGCACAGCCTTTAGGAACACACAAGGAAGAATGACTTTGCTGCAGGATCTCCTGGACAACACATAGAGCTCACTGGACTTCTTTTCACTTCAAGCAGTTATCTACAGCTTAACATTTTGGAAGAGCTGTATGCTCCACAACTACACCCAAGGGCTTGATGTCATTAAAAACAAACAAACAAGCAAGCAAGAACCCAACTCTTGTGTTTTGTGAAGCAAGAGGGAGAAAGAAGCTCAAGTTGATACCATAAACTGTATTCGAGGTCATTGTAATAAACATTGTGCTGGCATGAATCTTGCTCCCATTATCAATTTAGGAACAGTATTCATTTCCTGCCTCTCAACCTGTTCCACGTTACTTCTGCTTCTGCATTCCAACCCCAGGCTTGATGGGAACTCAATGACAAGTGTAATTACATGTCTGCTGAACTCTATGAAGGGATCATGTTTCAGGAGATACTCTTCGGAGAGCTCTTAACACTACTGGATTTGCACTGAACGGGGAGTATTTCACTAACATGGAACACAGGAATCTGTCTATCATGGTGCAACCTGGAGCACAATTTGCTGAATTCATGGCCTTTAGCCATACCAGCTGGAGCTGATGGGAACTGCAGTGTTTTTACTTGGGGGGGGGTTGTATCAGCTTGAGGAGGGCTGATGTCCTGGCTGCCTTAAGGACCAAACTTTCCCAGTGAACCCAGATGTTAAGATTTTTCCACTATCCCAGGGCAAATAAGCATAAAGTAAATCATAACTAGAATAGACCCATTTGAATCAATGGAACCTAACAAGTGTAATATGCATAAAAATACTACAGTAATATTGACCCCAGCCATAGAGCCATAGCAAACAACAGATGACTACCAGTATGGCCAGTTTAGCAAAAAGAACACAACAACAGACAACAATAGAATATCATTTATCCAGCATGCAGTCTACTGCACTATTGGATCACGTTAACTTATTTAAGGAAACATGATGCTTCCTGTTTCTGAATTCTTCCTTGTCACCTCGATGCCCACAACGTGGCATGAGTCACCAAAACTGGTCAGCATGTGAACCATGTAATGTTCTTCCTCCACCCTTTATTGAGGCCACTCCTCCACGACTTTGAAAACAACAAAAAGAGAGTTACGCCTACACCACAAAAACAACAGTCCTTATCCACAGTGAAGTTGCACTGCCATGATTTTACCCCATTGAGTGTAAAACAGTGCTACGTATGGGTATCCAAAAGGTGGCCTACAATCATGTCAAAGAAGAAATCATGCCACACACCCAGGTTAATAGAGGAAGGCAACTATAATTTAAATTAGCACTTTGGAGGCGAGACTGGCTGCAGATGGCAGGGCTGTCGATCAGTATTTATCAAGTTCCTACCTCTGGCAGCCCAGCAGCTACCACTCCTTCAGGCTGCAGCAGAGGGAGAGATGGGAGCATCTCCCCCAAAAGCTTCCGAGGGACCTGCTTCATCTGGTTCCTCTGGTCCCCAAATATCTCCACCAGCCAGGCATTGTTTTCCTCTCCTCTCTCCATCTGTTCTTCCTTTTGGGTCTTGCCTTGTAGACTACAAGGTTCGAGGTAAATACAAGCTTTCTATCTGCCTTAAGGAAGCCTGTCTGAGGGACATGGTGGCGCTGCAGGTTAAACCGCAGAAGCCTCTGTGCTGCAGGGTCAGAAGACCAGCAGTCGTAAGATCGAATCCACGCGACGGAGTGAGCTCCTGTCGCTTGTCCCAGCTCCTGCCAACCTAGCAGTTTGAAAGCATGCAAATGCAAGTAGATAAATAGGGACCACCACGGTGGGAAGGTAACAGCATTCCATGTCTAGCCACGCTGGCCACGTGACGACGGAAACTGTCTTCGGACAAACACTGGCTCTACGGCTTGGAAACAGGGATGAGCACCACCCCATAGAGTCAGACACGACTGGACTAAATTTCAAGGGGAACCTTTACCTTTAAGCCTTTCTGGGAGCTCCTTTGGTTCAAGAGCTCTCTGAATGTATCCTTGCTGGAACTGATTGTGGCTAACTGAAGAACCATTAGGACACTTCCTGTTGCACAATCTGGTGCACGGCCCGGCACAAGGCTCCTTGCACTTCATCAATTAACTGCTATTAGCCCAGGAAAATTAGACAAACCTTATGCAACAACCAAAGGGATTCTGACCACTACATGTTTTCTTTTCCTTTCAAAATTATTATTTTACTCATATGAAAATCTCTATGATTTAGCCAGTTAATCAGAATTTTCTTTAAACTGCACAACAGCTCTACGTTTATTATTGCACTCCTTTATTTGAAATAATTCTATATCACTTTTCATTCAAACAAAAACGCAAAAGAATTTTACACTGCTTTAGTATTACAGTGGTGCCTCACTTAGCGATGTTAATCCGTGCAGCAAAAATGGCTGCAAAGCGATAACACTGCTAAGCAATTTTTAAAAAACCACAGAAATGGATTAAAACGCATTAAATGCGTTCCTATGGGCTTAAAAACTAACCTTATGTGAAAATCCTCCATTGCAGCGGCCATTTTCGGTTTCTCTAAAGCGAGGACACACAGCGGGCGGCCATTTTTTCCCAGCGGCCATTTTGGAACCGCCAATCAGCTGGCCGAAAATGGGGGCTTTGTGATGATCGCTTCCCCGCGATGATCGCAAAGCAAATTTTCCCCATAGCATACATCACAAAGCGATTGCTTTTGCGATCGCAAAAACAGCGTCGCTAAGCGATTTCGTCGCTCAACGGAGCAATCGCTAAGCGAGGCACCACTGTATATCCCTTTAACTATCGTAGTCTCCTCCATAATTATAAAGCAAACTACTCTGAAAGAGCACTTTACAAGTAGTAATGGCAGATACACTGATTACGCAGTAATTAAATTTAAATACTTTCATTTGAAAGGAGCTCCTTTGCTAGCTCCCTGGGGACAGGGGGTTGTTATAATCAACTTATCCTGGCATTTAGTGAAGTGGCCAGACGTTTCCCAGGGACAAGCAGAAAGGCAGAGGGCTGTTTCGGACAGAATCACCATGTAACAGGGGGTTCTTGCAATTTTTATTTTCAGGCATAGCTCAGTGGTAAGGGCTCCTGCTTTGCACATAGAAGACTGCATCTTCAAACCCTCAGCTTTTCCAGGTAGGGTTTCCGCCCTTACACCTGGTGGCACAGATAGTCCTGAGCCTCAAGGACAGAAACAGCCACAGGGGACCAGGAGTCGTGCAAATCCCAGTCCTAGTTTAGCAAGGGGTGCAAAGTGGAGTTACAGGAATAAAAGGCACCTTAAACCTTCCCCATGCAGTAGTCTTCTCTAGATCAGCCATTCTCAATGCGGGGCCATATGGCCCCTGGGGCACCCTGGCACATTTAAAGGGGGCCACAGACTTTCAGCCATTCTCAACGCGGGGCCATATGGCCCCTGGGGCGCCCTGGGACATTTAAAGGGGGCCACAGACTGAAAAATGTGAGACGTTCTGAAAGATATATGTTTGCCATCGTATCCTTGTTTGACAGGGAGCTGTGGAACCTTAGAAGAGTCCATAAAAGGGTGTGGCCAAAAAAATGGTTGTTACAGATGCCCTTTAACAAGTAGTACTGCACAGAACATATTTGCCCTGTTGACTATGTATCGTCATCAAATGCAAAAGCACAAAGCCCTTTCATCAGCCATTGTTATTTAGTTACTACATGAAGGAGTTTAACTGAAACCAGTGATACAAAAGTTTCAAAAGAAGTAGCTGTGTTAATTTGTTTCCATTATAGATACTTGAACAGAATGGGGGGGGGGGAGAACAGGGAACAAACCAAACAAGGAAAAAAGCTCACACTGAAACAAATGTTAGTCATTAAGGTGCTACAATACATTTCCCTTGATTTTCGTTTCTTCCCTTTAATTTTGCCGTTTAGTAGTACAGAAGTGTAATGCATAAACGAATGAAGGCATCTCTCACCAGCTGTACTCCCGCTAGGTGGCGCCAAAAGATCAAAGCAACCTTCGTGGTAAGGAAGAATTACTATTTAAGAGGTGCAAAAGGACCCAAGGTTACTAGAGTTAAAAAGGTGATGTTTAACCACTGTGCAATTCCCAGAGCTTCCACTATTTCAAAAATTGGTCAGTATATACACTGGGGCTTCGATACCCACTTATATTTAATGCATGGAATTGCATCATACCATTGACACTAAACTTGACCATAAAAAGGACTTGGGCAATAAAAAAAATGCTTTCTGAATCCCTGAGAGGTTACACGAGGGAAAAAAAATTGCTTACAAGGATGAAGTTTGGCCTCTATTACCAGGGACAAGATGGATTAAAGCAAGCCTTTTAATATTTTGTTCCCTATTTTAGAATGCTACAGGAGACCAGAGCACATGCTGAATGAAATCATATGCAGTGGAACTGGTCCTTCTAATATCAGTTAAGCCATTCTTTGGAACAGCCCCACTGCATACATTCCACAAGTTTG